CACACTGATGCCTATCTCACATTTAGGAGCGATTAAGTCTAAATCCAATGTACCCACTTCAGGGAATGATTTTTGTCTAAGGCAGTACTGGGGAAAGTTTCTTGCCCCCGAGCTTCTGCTGCAGGAATGTAGTTTCATGACTTAGTGTCTCTGCTCTTCCATTTACCCCACACTGCTGTCTCAACAGGAAAATATCCAAGATGAGGGCTAGGTCTCCTCTAGATCTAGTATGCTGGTGTTGTTAAAGTCCCATCTTGCATTGGATGTCTGATTGTTAAAAAATCTGGTAGAATTCTGGGAGAATTGGTGTTACTTCATTATGGAGGAAACAAAGTGGTCTCAGTCATGCCGTGTGCCAAACCATGGTGTTCCCAATGCTGAGTTAGGGGGCAAAAGATTAACCCAGACTCTAGCTGTGTATGAATACTATTTTATAATAAAGTTGCAGACTCCTCTTAAAATCCTTTAGGAATTAACTCCTACTCTCTTTCCAAACTCATCTCATGCCACTCTTCCCTTGTCTACCCAAACTCATCCATACTTCATCCCTTAGTTACTTTAAAGAAACAAGACTTGTTCTTAACCTTGGGCATATCCCCCAGATGTCATCCTTTACCTTCTGATATTTACGTAATAAATGTCTTTTCATTACCTCCATCTCTGCTTTTCAGAGCAGCCTCCACTTATCCACACCCTGAATTCATAACATAAATCTTTGCACCATTAGTAAACAAAACTTCAAGTTGATTCTCCCTAGAATATGAGTTTCAAGGAGCAAAGACTTCTACTTCTTGTTCATCATTATATCACCAGAATAAACCCATCTAGTGAAGAACACTGTTGGTGCATATGTTGGGTACTCAGTTGCTACAAGAAAGTTGATGGTTTGAACTTGACCCAATAGTTACATTAGAGAAGGCTGCTTCCATGAATATCACAGCCAAGAAGACCTTATGTGGCAGTTCTACTCTGTCACCCGGGGTCTTGGTGAATTGAAATTTACTTGAAAGCATCTAATAAAAATGGTGAGTGACTTACAGCCATTTGCCGAATGAATGAGTCTAAGAACCAATGAGTGTGTACGGATATCCAAAGAGGGAAAGGGAGAGGACAAAAGGGCTGAGGAGAGGAAAACATGGGGGGTCACAGTGTTTGGTGGGTGGAGGGAGGGAGTGGAAAAACAAACCCATGAATTATATGAATGAAACACAATTAAACACACACACACACACCCACACACACACAGAGAATATTCCTCAGAGCTGCCTGAGCTACCTTTTTTTAAAGAGAAATCAGTAATAATAACTTTTGTGTAGAACTGTATGCTATTTATCATATAAACAACTAAGTAATTTTCTTTTTAAATGTGAATAGAATCATGTTTACAAGTTGAAATTAATTTGTAAGCCTGTAGTTTGGGATTCCTATATTTAAAGGTTATTTAGAAGTAAAATAGAGGCAGGAGGTAAAGGACAAGTGTGTGAAAGGCATCCAAAGACGACCTTTAGAAATCTGGAATCGTGGCACTGTTCAGCTTCCATTGCCTGTTTACTTGTTGTTTGGTTTTCTTTTGCAAAGGCAGGGTGCAAACTCAATACCAGATCATCATAATCTCCTTTCCCATTTTTACAAAACTCATTTAGTTTCATTCAAATCTCCAATGTCCTCTGCTGTGGTTTTCTACAGTCTCCATCTATTTGAAATCCTCTAACCGACAGCATCTGCCCTGATACATCACACACCCTGGAAAATTACAGGCCGGTGTTGTAGCTGATTGTGTCAGCATGTATTTGTGAATGCCATAAAGCACTGAAATGAGACGTATTGCACTCCCTAATATAGGAGGTAATTTGTTTTTTGGACTGCCTTGTATTTGTGACATTCATTAGTGAGAGATGCAATTCGAAATAGAATTACACAAATGGGAGCTTCATGTTAGATTTGCTCTCTGTGAGGCACACATGATAAATGAAGCTGCTGGGTTCCCCAGCCTCTTGTGTTTGATGCTGAGATGCTGTCTCTCTAGCTTTTGTGCCTCAGAGTTGGGACTTGAGTAAGTGACAAAGTGCCTGAGGTGGGACTCACAAGTCACTGCCCTCCATCAGGTCAACTTAGATCTTGGGGCAATCTAGGTGGGAAGTTCCAAAACTTGGTAGGGAGCTTTTCCTCTTCATTTCAATGGAATAATGACAATGTTTGCCCACTTTGCGGAAATGAATGTAAGTTAACTCATGTTTAAGGATTTTTCTTTTCTACTCATCTCCCTCCCCACAGGTGTTCGGTTTCTTGTTTCCTTGGGATGTTTTCCCCCCCGCCGCTGAAACATTTTGTAACAGGTATGGATAGATTGCTAGAGTCAATGAGGAAGAAGAAGAAAATAATAAGCATCAGTTGTCACCTCAGCTGTCACAGTAGCAGGATCATTTTGTCAGGCGCACGTCCTTGTGGCAAGTCATTAAAAGCAAAGGCCCTAGAACGAGGCTAGGGATTCAGTGATGGTTTAACCATTCAGTAGCATTGTGACTCTGGGACAGGCAATGAACTAATCTGTACCTTTGTCTTATATATAAAATAAGGACACTAATGCAACCTGACTCAAGCTATTGAAAACATTCAGTAAGTTAACAAATATAGCATAGCTAGGACTTAGGGTAAGGAGTACTGGGGAACAGTGTTTAAACATAAGGTTGTTAGTTAACCAGGCACCGGTGGTAGAAATCAGTCAGTGACTCTGACAGAGATAAAGTCGGCAACCTCCCAGAAACATTACCACCTAGGGAATCCTAATAGGCAGTTCTCTTCTCTCATCTAGGATCACTATGGGTCAGAATTTACTTTGTGACATACAACAACAAGAAGATTTAGTACAATGTCAGCACGCCCTAAATCCTGCTTAAGAATTTGCCATTACTATTTAATATAGTAGGAAGAGTACAAGTTTTAGCAGCGGAAAAATCAGTTGTGATTCAGGTTCTGCCCCTACATTATGTGTTATCTCCTGCTGCTGTTGCTAGGCGCCATCAACAACAATTCATAGTAACCCTGTGAACAACAGACCTGAACCCTGCTCTATCGTGTGACGTTCTCACTAATACATCTGAACCAAAAGCTACAGCCACCATGTCAATTCATCTCATTAAGGGTGTTCCTCTCTTCCACCAACCCATCACCCTTCATGGGTACTTTTCCAAGATCTGGCCTCTCTTCAAAACATATTCAAGTAATCCAGGGTACCATAAAGAATGTAGAACACCTAACTCAGTTCCTGCCTTTGAGTAGAAATTCATTAAAACCATTCACCACTGTGTAATTGACTGTAACTCAAAGTTAGGCAGAGTAGAACTTCCTCACAGGACTTCCATGGCTGAAAATCTTTATGGAACAGACTACCTCAACTTTCTCACAGATCAGCTGGTGTGTTTGAACCGTAGGCTTTTCAGTCAGCATTTAATGAAGACACTACCATTATAGAATTAATTACAGGCTGTCCCTGATTTAAGACATATTTGAGTTGTGAGGAACCACACTCACAGCCATGAGTTGTTTGTTCGTTCGTTTGTATTTTGGTATATATTATTGCTAGTGAAGTACCACAATGAAATAATCGACTGTTATCATTTTCATGCCAACACCAAGACAGGTCAGGTTTGGATTTACTTAAAAATGTCATAATAAGAGACACAAGGGAAACTTTTAAAAGCGTTATTCAATGTATATCATTGAAATTACTTCAACAGAGTGGAGTGGAACCCTGTTGTAAGTTGAGAACTACCTGTATATACCTTTAAAATGAGTAAGTTCAAGTATTTTAATTGATTAGTTGCGTGCCTAGATGTTACTTTGAGATTCCATGGAGCTCTGGTGATGTAGTTCAGAGGGAACTGCACCCAAACAATGTGCCTTCCTGGTGTCTCCAATCCACTGGCAGCTCCACAGAACACAATCTCTTCCTTGATTTATTGTCTCAGAAACCTGATGGAGAGTCAGCTATGAGTCAGTTCTGACTCAAAAGCAATGAGATTCTAATCGAGTTTCCTAGACTGCCTTTGTGTCGTGGTGCAGAAGAGGAGTCTTGAACATACCAAGGACCACCAAGAAAACAAGTAAGTCTGACTTGGAGAGGGTGAAACCAAGTTTCTCCTTGGAAACAAGGATTTTGAAGCTCTATCTCACATACTTTGGGCATGTGGCCAGGAGGAATTTACCCTTGCAGAAGGAGACCATGCTCAGAAGGGTGGAGGGACAGTGCAGGAGGGGCAGACCCCAGGTGGGAAGGATGATTCATTAACTAGGGTAATGGGGGTAGGTGTGTTGGAGTCAGTGAAACAGGCTTCAGAGATATTGTGCATAGGGTCGCTATGAGTTGCACAGGTGACTCGCCAGCACATAACAACATCAACAGGCTGCTTAAACAGGATTAAGACTACAAGTGCCATAAAACAGTGTGCCCAGTGGAATCTTGGGAAGCATCTAGAGGCATAATCTTGACAATTTCAGCCACTTACCAAGAAGGTCACAACTGGAAATGCAGTGAGCTTAGCACTTCCTCTGAAACTAATCCAAGCCTTTTGAAAATCCATTTGAGTTAATCTGGCATTTGACACTAGACAATTGATGGCTCTTGAGAAAAAGGGTGCGGACAATACTGAGAACATTAAACAAAGAGCCAAGTGACTGTATCCTGTTGCTCTAGATCTCATCAACGTTCAGAACTGCCTCAGCAGCACCTCCTGCTCTCTGGGCCAAGTTTCCTTGCATATAAAATAAAGGGGTAGATAACCAGGCCCTTCTAGTTCTAAAATTTCTAAGTTGAATTTGAAGATGTAAAAATGATTATGTGAAAAAAGTAAAGCACAGCGGGGAACTCTCTCCTAAGACTTGGCACATCGGGATGTTTGGGAGTTAGTGTTCTGCATAAGTGGAAGCAAGCTGACCCCTCTAGGACAAGATGTCTATGACTGAACCAAAGAGGAAGGCAGGTGAAAATAAGGAAGTCTTACCTTTTCACTTCTTTGGCATCACTTGCGATGAAAAATCCTAAAGTACCTTCTTGGATCTTAAGGTGGTTTCCAGGATTAATTAATATACTGCTCGGTGAACAAAAAAAAAAACAAAAAAGAGACACACTTATGAGGTTGTATTCTGACCCAAACTGCCATGGGTATACTTTATTGTTTTTATAGGGGGCCCACTAGTCTAATATCCTCAAAAAGTGGTCCAGACCTTGGCATTCCCTGCCCACCCATTTAAATGGATAATGCCAACACTAAGTTCTACTGGTTGATCTCCAAGTTGACACACTGCTAATTAAGGAAATGAAAGCAAATGTAGGGTTTTTGGTCCAGGCTTGTATAATGCTGGGCCACCATCAAAACATCTGACTCAAAGCAAAGTTCCTCATAATATATCACCTAGGAAATTACTGTTGGTGGTCAGTGTTGAAGAGCTATTGGTCTAATAAAGCCATTACTACACCTATTTTCCTTTAGATGTCAGAGCATTAATGGGACCCCTATATGTATGGATATATATACATACATGAACACATGTCTAGACACATCATATATTATTGTGGGTAATGGTACAGGACACCCATAACTAATGCAGAAGGAAACATAACATCTGCATGGCAATGTGAAAACATGGAAGGAGATTCTATGTACAGCCTCAGCAAGAACTGGATCTACCCCACCAGAAAAGAAGGAAAATGTTAGCAGTTGGAAATACATAATGACTTCAATCTGGTGTTTATAAAAGCCTATGGGGTGTTCACATAAGGTGTCTGTGTAGAATGCCCTGGCTGAGGTTAACTGTGGTTAGAAAACAAATTCAAATCACCCCTACAAAAACTTGCCCTGCAGGGAAGTATGTGTCTAAATATACACTGTCCTATTTCAAAGCAGTATAAATAGATTAACTGACCAACTTGTGTTTGGACTGACAGGAGAGATAAATGTATCCTAATCTGATAAATGGATGAAACAAACAAGTTTAATTTTCTGCAGATCTAAAGCAGAACACAGGAATGTCTTACACAGGAACTGAGATGAGGCTTTGGGCTTAATGGATGCTGACTTTTGGGACGCTAAATGCACCAACAGCTCCAGCAGAGGGATTCTTTGATCTGAAAAGCTGTGCTTTAGGTAAAAGACGTTTGGAACCAGGCTAGAGGAGGTACTTAAATAGCTAATACAATCAAAAGGAAAGCTGGCTCTTAGCATGCCATCTTTTTCAGCCGATAAAATCCTTCCAGAAAGTGTTACAGCCAACAGAAAGATGGGTCTGCTAATATAGGAAGGACCCAGGTGAACTTTTGTTCTGCTGGAAAATCTCTGAGTAGATCATTATTGCAAAATAATGGCTTGCGGTCACAAGAACATCCTCTATTAACCATAACAAGACCTGAGCGCTGGAGACTGAACCTGTGTCACTGATGTTATTATCACAAAATAATAAATAGCGTGAGTCCACAAAGGTTTGACTCTTCTGCTCCAGAAGCACAGGCAGCTAGGAGATTCTGCAAAACTCAGAAAGCAGCAGACTTCACTAATAGCACAGTTTACAACCAGCAGCTCTGCTGTCCAGGCACCTCCGAATGACTCCACTGCCAGCCCCACACAAGGCGATAACCAGTCTTCACATAATCATAAGAAGCTCACAGTTTATGTAGTTTATATAAATGCCTTCTTCCAAGCCAATTAAGCATGATATTTTAGAAAAGCATAATTCTGGCCTTTGTGTAATTTCCTATGCCTTTCCTACTGGCATTTCTTAGGCACCGTTACTTCACAATTAGACACTAGGTCCAATTCCAGCATGCCCACTTTGTGTGTGTATGACTTGGGACAAGTTACTAAACCTCCCTAGAACTCAAGCCTCAGAATGGCGAGAATGATGAATATTATCTTACTTCAAAGATTAAATGAGACGACTCATAGAGTCTCAGATTATGATGATTGTTGTTACTTCTAAGGAGCTCTGGTCGTGCAGCCCACAGCATGCTGCATTCCTAACCAAAAGGCCACATAAGCTGATGGGCCACCAATGGTTCTGAGAGATAAAGACAGGCAGTCTCCTACTGTTCAGATTTACAGCCTTGGAAATCTAAGGGAAAACTACTAAAACTGGAATTGACTCAATGATAGCCACTTGGTTTTTCTTTTTTAAAAATTGTTACTTTTATTATTCATTAGCATAAAAATGCACTTCAAGCTCAGTGGAATGATCTGAAAGCTTCTTTAATTGGCCCCATTGACCAGAACCCCTGGGAATTTTTATCCAAATGCTGCTGCTGTTAGTTGATTCAGAGTTGATTCTGACACATGGTGATCCCGTGGTATGAAGCAGAACTGTTCCAGAGAGTTGCCCAGGCTGTGACCTTCAGAAGAGGATTGCCAGTCGTGTCTTCCAAGACTGCTCTGAGTGGGTTTGAACCATCAACTTATTAGCAAATACAGCCATCTGTACAATCCAGGGTACCCTGCCCATCATGAGACAAAGCCACAGGGTGACGAATGATCCGCTCTAGAATCCTGTGCAAGGACAAACAGGAAGAATTCTGCACACTTCTGTAGCCTGAAGGAATCAGCTTTTTACAAATGGAAAAGTCTACATTTTGGTATTTGTATGAATTAAAAGCACTTCTAAATGGAAAAAAAAATCTGATGATTTGAACAACAGAATTCAAAAGGTGAAATATGACATTCATCAACATCTTGGTGATATGCATGTGAAAAATTAGTCTCCAAAGGACCTGTTTCCCTTTTTTGTGGACAATGTACGTTTCAGTAATGCGCTCTCCAACACCCAAGCTCACCATGGAACCATTGCAGGAGATACAGAGGTAGCGGTTCCCCATCCACAAACTGTTTCTTTTCATCTCTTCTGTTCTTTTCCAATAATGAACAAGAATTTGCCTCCAGTGGAAATTAGGACTATCCTAGGGACTACTGCAGGTTAAAATAATATTTTACAGCCTTCAAGCGTGATTTTTCTCCAAGTTACTACTGTGGGCCAGACAGATGTGGGCCCCTGGCATCAGGTCATTTGTGTTCACATCTCAGGTTATGCAAGCAGATGGCATGTGTCACATGCCAGACCTCACAGGTCGTGGCCTTGGGCTGCAGCTAAGCCTTACTCTCTGCATCTAGGAAATGGGGTGAATAATCACCACCTTAGAGAATTCCAAACTAAGTACCATATGCACTCTGCAGAGTGGCTGGCACGCAGGAAGTTCTTAACACATGGTACCTATTACCAAAAACTAGATTCGTGTGTGTCATCAATTCAATTCTGACTCAGAGCAGACCAGTGGTAAGTAATGTCTCAAAGATGACAGCTGCCCATTTCATCCTTGGCTGTAATAAATGATTCAAGGAGTAGCCTCTTCCAGAGGCAATAGAAACATGTGTGCTGACTGTACCATCAGAAACATTTTACCTCTGGCAAGAGGCTAACTTGAATTGACATCAGTGGTCCTACAGTGGAGTGTCTTAAAGTTCTTGGTGGTTGGGCAAGGTATCTGGGAATGCCTGCAGCAACACCACTACCTGAGTAAATCTAGGTAAATATCAAGTATGTCAAAGCTCATGATGGTGGCACAGGATACGACAAGTTCACATCCGTGGTTCACAGGGCCACTAGGAGTCCTATTTGACAGCACTGAACACCACCACCACCTCTTATTATGTTAGATTTGTAAGTTTGGTAAAGAAGCACATGCCCTTGACTCCAGGGACCAGAACATACAATACTCATTGTGTAAGGTTTCAGAGCTTCAAAGATTTAGAGAAAACATATTATTTTATTTTAAATATATTTTAATATATTTATATTTAAATATATTTTAGACATGCGGTCTTCTCACATTCCAAATGTAGACTTTTTAGTAAAGTATTAGTCGTCTTCTTCTTTTTAAAAAATATTAAACTATAAAGATCTTAGAAGGAACTAATTTTTTCTACAGTGTTTATTGCCCTTAACTTGTTGCTGATCTCCTAATGTGCATCTTTCCAAAGATCTTTGATTTCTTTAAAAGAATACTTAATGTTATGTTTATTTTATTCTCATGTCTGCCAAAATTCTCTCTCCCTTTGGACCACTTTAAGTCAGTTCACTGGCTACAACTCTGTCTAATTCATAGCTTATCAGAGATAAACTTCAAGATGTGTCATGTGAAGAATCAAGAAAATCTCTAAGAAAAAAATTCCATCTATCAAGTCACAGAATTCCAACAGAGACATCTTCTTGGCTGGGCTGGGGCTGATCTCATTGTAAGCAACTTATAAATGATCCTCATTCTTCTTTGACCTTGCAAATTGTAAATGAGAGCATTCAGTGGCAGTTGACGTCGTCCAGTTCCCAAGGAAACATGCTCTCTTTGTTTTGCTTTTAGGGTAGTTATATAACTAGATTAATTCTTTGTCTTGTCTCAACTCATTACATGGAACAAGTTCAAATTCAAACTAAACCTCAGAGCTGTAGGGTTAGAATCATAGCTGACCCTCCCCATAATTTAGCCTCAAAAAGTCTCATTGTTGTCAAGTAGGAACGAACTCACCACTAATGCTCCAGCAGATTTTCAGAGACTATAAATCATATGGGGAGAAACTGTCTGTCTTTCTCCCTTGGGGTGGCTGGTGGGTTTGAATCACCTACCTTTGGATTGGTGATATAATTCCTTCCTCACTAGACTAATAGAGCTCCCACTTGGTAAGTAGAGCATCCAAAAGCATAATCACGTTTTCTTTATTTCTGGGTTGCTCACAGCAACAACCTGAGGGTCCTTCATTCAACAGACACTTTGCAACAGTTGTCCAAGAAATAAAAAAACATAAACCATTGCTCTCCATCTTTTAAGTTCTCCTTTTCTCTCTAATAAGGAGACAGGAGATTAAAGTTATTCATTCAAAGACCAAGCTGCAATCCTCATCGCTCAAGACTACCACAGAGATGGCCATACCTCCTCAAGGGGGTTGCGAAAGTAAAGTAGAAATCTCCCACAGGCATTAAATACAAAAATGTAATTATACAAACATAAGCAGACAGCCACTTGGGGAGCTGAAGCAACTGATTTCAATACTGAAAA